GGAACTTGAAACCTAGGTAAAAAAAACTCTAATTAATCTTTATATTAAATAGGGGAACTTGTTGGCCTCATATAAAATATTTTACAAACCAAACGAATGTCACAAATTCTTTAGTTTAGAAGATTGAGCCTACTACAGGTGATATGTTTATTCTTCGGGATAAGTGTTTTACTTGTGGTATTGTGCTTAGTCACCCAAACTATTCAAAATGTGAGACTCGTTTGATCTCACCTATTTTTAAATCAAAATGTTACTTTCAAAAATCATATTCATATCAAAGTTATTTTTATATTTTTCTAGATTTTTCAAAATAAAAAATAAAACGGTCGACACATACTAATTAAAGTATGTTTTTTCTTTCCTATTATTACTCATATTAGTCAATTGACTAACGTAAGCTTTTTTTTTGTTTGTTTGTTAAATTTTACTCTAGCACCAATAATTTCATGAAGTTTGTAGCTTACTCTAAAGACATTGCATTTCAGTGAGGGTTAAGGAGCACGAGAGCAGATAGCGTAGTGGTTTGATTTGTACATTTTTTGAGCGGTAACAATTTCATAAGATTGTGAAAACTTTTGGGACATGTAAATTTAGATAATTCGATATTTAATAGTTATGTACATATTTTATGAATTAATTATACACACTTCCCTGTGTGGTGAATATGAATAAAAATAAAAATAAAAAATACTAGAAGATATCAATTGTGATGATTGAGTGAGACTAATATTTTACCCACTTGATCCTGATTCGTATAAGTCAGAATGAGTGTTGGTGAAAATTATGATCAGCATCTCTACTTAAACCTTGGTGCGGTCAGCTAGAATGTGACAAGACATGTTGGTAAATGGATGCAGATGGATGTTGAACTATACAAAATGCAATTCACATTATCTTCAAACTCTCATATTTACTATTTTGTACGTCAAATTTTAAATTATATAATTGTGACCGTAATTTGAGATCGTAGTGGCTAGTATGTTGATGATCGAATATTGAGTAAATTCATATCATTTATCAACTCTTCATAGTTCTCTCTCACACTTAGGAATTTCATCCTATATAACAACAACATTTATATGCATTTTCTTTATGATTAACTTCCTCATGCACAATTACTTGGGAGAATAAAAAAGAGTCCCGCCCATGTCGGCTACCTTCAGCATGCCAAAAACATTAAAATTGGCATGATAAGAAAATCTTTTGTAGTGATTTAAGATCATGAGGGTTATCCAATATTACAATCATGCTTTCAGAAAATTCGTTCATGAAATAATCTAACATTAGGCGCATCAGACGATTAATGGGGGGCCTAAGGGGGTACGTCCCCATGTGACTGTGGGAAGCTTCACAACCATTCTGGCTTTAATTCTCTCTATACTTTCATCTCCTTTGTATTCGATCCTGAATAACCATTTGCAGCCTACAAGATTTTTTCCATGACGCAACTCTGTAAGTGTCCATGTGTTATTCATTTCTAGAGCTTGAATTTCTTCCACAATTGTATGTTTCCATGTTGTAACCTTTAGAGCCTCTTAAGTAGACTTGCGAACTTGCACACTACCAAGGTTTATCACAATAGCCCTGTAAAATGCTAGCAACTTCCAATAAATTATATATTTTTAAACGAGATGACCAGTGCACCCTCAAATATATTTACTGTGTGCACTTCCTTGATTGAAGTCACCAAATATCAATGTAAGAGTCATGAATTGAGCCATTCGTATCATTATGATTATCATATGCAAGAGGACTTATTATTTTTGGCTCTTGACAATAATAGTTCTGCAAAGTGTCCTTTACATCTCTACATGCTCAGTGGACCTTCCACTTATGGTATAGACATAAAACTCCATATCATTGTTGTCATATTGAGGTAGGGTAGAGACAATTTTGATTATTTTTATGACATTTTGGTTCTTCAAGTGAGATTAGTTGAGCGATGAGATTTTGATATCTTGAAAAGAAATTTCAAATCTAATATTATCTTGAATTCTACTGAATATCATATTTTGGAGAATATAATTGATCCTTATAAAATGTGACATACATAGAGTTATATATTTTTGTTGTGGTTGAAGAATATCAATTGTACCCATTTTTAATGGAGTAACCAAGAAAATACATCTGAGAGACTCGAGATTAAGTGTGATACATTGTCATTGGTAGATGTGAACAAAGGCAGAACCAAAAATCATTAATTGTAAATCTGAAGAAAGAGTGCATGTGTGGGTAGGATTCTATGATACTATTATTAGAAATTTAAAATTTTAGGAATCAACTAGGTCTTTATACAACAAGTTATGAATGATGAGATGATGTCCCTCAAGAAGAACAACACTTATAAGTTGGTAGGAAAGCCAAGAAATAAGAATATTATGAGCTCCAAATGGTTGTTCAAGAAGAAGGATGCAATCCCTAAAGTAAAAGAGCCAAGATTCAAGCTAGTCTTGTAGCAAGGAGATTATATCAAAAAAAAGGGGTGCATACTATGCTAAAATTTCTCTCCATTGGTATCCATAGGTTGCACAAATTGATATGCATCTTAAACAAATGGATGTTAAAATGTTATGCTTGCTTGGAGAATTGGAAGAGACTATTTACACGAATAAGCCTAAGGATAAAATGCTTGATGTTGGCTTTACTCTTGCTATTATGATTCTTATATATACTTGAAATCTAAGGAGGCTAATAGCACTATTTATCAATTCCTTCATGTTGCTGATATGTTAGTTATAAGTGTTAACTTAGAAGAAATCAGAAGATTGAAGAATTTGTTCAAGGTGGAGTTTGAAATGAAAGATCTTGGCCTTCCCAAGAAAAATCTTGGAATGGAGATCATCAAAAAGAAAGGGAGATGAAATTTGTTCTTGTCTCAAGGCTCATACATTAAACAGATTGTGAACAAGTGTAGGATATCGGTTTGTAAAACCTATCTCTCTACATTAGCAATAGAATTTTAAGTTGAGTGAGAATCAAGCATTAAAAGATAATGATGAAAGAGCACATGAAGAAAATTTTCTTGCAAAATTTTGTGGCCAGATTTGGTATATTCACTCAATAGTATAAGCAGCTTCATGGCTGATCCAAGGAGATAACATTGGAAAGCTGCAAAATTGGAGCTTGTGTACTTTGAATAAAATCATAACCGTGAGATTGATGTATAAAAACTCTTATACTCTATGGATGATATAATAATTGGTTAAGTAGATTCAAATTTTCCAAGATGTTGTGAAAGTTAAAGATTGCCTACTGGCTATGTGTTTATGGCGCTAGTTGTAGCATTTTCTATGACTGAAGCTGAATACTTTGCAGTATCTGAATTCATAAAAGAAGTAGCATGGTTGAAAGTGTTAATTTTATGAATTATTTCAGCTAGTGATTTCTGCTGTGCATGTGTTTTTTGACAATCAAGGTGCAATATTTCTCTCCAAGAATCGTATTTATCATAAAATAACTAAGCAAATAGATTTAAAGCGTTCCTAATGTGATTGTGGAGATTGTGAAAATTCCAACAAGTGATAATGCATAAGAAGCATTAAAAAAAGTCGTTGTTTCCCCAAAATGTTAGCATTACTTGGAGTTGTTGGGATAGCAAGTGAAAAATCTTGAAGTTGGGTTCTTGTATCTTTTTGAAATAAAGAACCAACATAGAGATTGTCATACGGTCCTTAAATTTATTTCCTTTGGCAATTTTGTCTATTTGTTTTTAGAGTTGTGGGTGTGGTCATAAATTGAAACCCCAATACCTATATTCAAAGGCAATCTAATTCAATTCTCCATTCTTTAGAGTTCTTTCTTCTCTCCCTCTATCCACGTCTTTCGTATTTTGGGTTTCTTTGTGCTAGTCTATAAGTTTTAGGAACAGTAACCTAAGGATAAGCAATGTAGGTGAAGGCAGAAAAGCTGATGGGGAATTGCTGCTGTGAATGGTTGTGGAAAGGAAGAAGGTTTTTCTTCCGTGAAGATGTTCTTTTTTCTGCTGCCAACAGGAAGAATCCTGAGCGTCACTGCCCATAACCAGACAGAGAGATAATTGCTCTTCCGTTTAGAGGAGTATTGCAGGAACCAAACTGGTTCCACTGTTGAGTAAGAACGGCAGAAACAAGTTTCTAGCTGTAGACAAGAAACCCTAGGATTCATCCAAAGAAGCACTGCTGATGCCAATGTGAAGCCATGTTGTGAAAGGCTAATCAGAGAAAAAAATTATAGCTGGACAAGGCTTGTATTCAGACAAAAAACACTTGTTGGAGATTCTATAAGCTTGTTGGTGAACTACAGATGTGGATTCTCTGTTATTTACTTATTTATTCACTTAGTTATTTCTTTATTTATAAGTTTATTAACATGTAGAAGGATATTTTTCTTCTACAAAGAAAACAAGTAATTAAAATTAAAAATACCAAATAATATGACAACTAGAACCATCTATCTTTCCTTTCTACCAAATAAGTCAGCTTGATTTGTGGAGAAATTTCTTTTCCTCTCATATCAGCAGTTATGTCAATATACTCTTCTGCACCATTCCCGTAGCATGAATTTTGATAATTCAACTTGTGGATATCAACAAAAAAGTATCAATATATCATATGAATATAAATCTCTAGATTGAAGGTAGCCAGAAATTTAAAGTTCCTAAAACCCCTTTTACTATATATCCATCTACCTACATGTTTTCAAAATTGATAGACACCACCCATGATGGTAAGATTCTATCTTCCAATAAATTCTTCCGTGAAAAGATCTAATAACAAGAGCATATAAAACGGCACAACCTTCCTGCGAAAATCCAAAAGACCGCGCTTACTAGCTTAAGTGCAGAACAAAAATCCCGCCCAAAATTAGAAAAGGGAACAGGGCAAAAACTGAATCTAGATCGCAGAATTTCAAGCTCAACAACCCTAGCTTTCAACACCCAATACAAAATTACCTCCAAAACAGAAAACAAGATTACCAAAACTCAAACCGAATCAGGAGAAAAAGAACAAGAAATGCGAAACCTGGTCCGGATCGTTCCAATTAATCATCCTGAAAACGCTGACAGATCTCCTGGCAGAAGAATCTCAAACCCTTGGAGTGATCTGTGAACCTCTTTACCATCTCAGTATCACAAGATTCCCCAGTAAGCCCTAAAACTCACAAGTTCGTGTTGAGAAGTGGAAAAACTATATGTCAGCATAGAAAGAGGGATTAATTCATCTTCCTGTATGCACTGCAAATATAACGACGGAGATTTCCAGAGCCCTCACGCGACCCCGACTAAGCGAGAGATTGCGAGAGGCCAGGGAGGGGAAGGTTTTCCTTACGCGTATGGACGTGAGAGAAGCGGACACGTGTCCATCCGCATCTAAAGTCGTGGCTGGGAGAGGCCTGATCAAATACTACGATTTTATTGGCCACGACTGGATTTACTTTGCATTTCACATTCATTTCATTTAACTTTTTCACACAAATGTTCCCGTAGCCTGGCGTCATGATGTGCTGCTACTTTAATTTAGGAGTCATTTTGATTTTTTTTTTTATTTTATTAAATAAAAAAATATTTAATATTCTAATCATTTTGACATCATTTTATTCGCAATTTTATAGCTTTTATTTTTTTTTTTATTATTTTATTAAATAAAAAAATATTTAATATTCTAAACTTGAAGTTTTTTTTATTAAGAGTTTTTTTTTTTTGGATCTTTTTATTTTGTATTTTTATTTTATGGCTTCTTTTAGTTTTAAAACATGATTTTTAGCATGTTTTTTTACACTTTTTTTTCTATAAAAATTAATTCTTTTTTGGAATTCTCAAAACAATTTTCAAGTATTTTGTGCATGTTTAAAAATAATTATAACTTAATCAAATATTTGAAATATGTTCTATTTTGAATTAAAATAGAAATAAAAATTAAATAATGAAAAACAAAAAATATCAACACATTTTACTGATTTTAGAAAATTTATTATTTATTGATTATGATGCTGTCCTGATCATATTTTATAAAAAATTCAAATATCATCAGATTGGTTATTAATATTTTCATTTGATTAATTAGATTTAAATTATAATATATATCATCTAAAATGATACACGTAATAGAGTATGATTAATTCAAAGTTTGAACTAATAATTAATGAGAATTAATAATGAATATAGGACTATGATAATAAAGTGTAACAAATATTATAATACAATATTATAAGTAATGCAAGTTAATCTTATTAATTTATTCCTATATTAAGATAAATTGCATATTATAATAACTATCATGCTCTTGAATATGAATTTGTCTTGCAAATAACACCCAAAAAATATAACGTAGGACAGGAGAGAGAGAGAGAGAGAAGAGTGCACGATAATGAACACCGAAATGAAAGGATTGTGTAAAACTTATTCATGGAATAATTCTGTCTTTATAGTAAATTTGGTACAATATATATAATTACATGTTTACCCTAGCTTTAAAGGGAGCGTTACAAGGTATTTTGGATATTTACATAAATGAGCCTATGACTTAGCTACCATATTGCTCGTTCGACTAAGATTAGCGGGACTTAGTTTAGCAAGGCTCGTTCGTCTAACTACGCAGAGTTTGGGCGGTCGATCAACTTTTATTGATCATCGGTCATCCGAACTTAACTCAGTCGGTTTGAGTCTACCGGTCTGCTACATTAGTCCGACTGTCGACTATCGACCCCCAGATGAGGAGCTTGTCGCCAATATGAGATTAGGATGTTGGATAGATGGTGAATCATCGTAATCTGATAGGTAGCTCACCCTTTTAACAAAAAATCCTTCAAGGTGTTCGCAGAGCATATCATGATAAAAAATTGGCTTCCTGATGAAGAGTCTCAGAGGTTCTTATGAGGTAGCTGGTGATGTTGAGGCGAGAATTGGGTTGAGGCCTTCTCTCGACTTGATGGCCCTTAGTTATTTGTTATAATGGCCTCTGTTTCATCTGCTTCAAGCCTAAATCTAAAGGATCTGCACTTGATCAATCGAATCATTTGATCTTTCATTGATGAGACTTTTGGTGTTAGTTATGTTAGTCATACTTGACCCTACTTTCATTTGTCATAGTCCATTGAATTTCCTCAAGCTTTGTGCTAACACATTTCTGATGTGCATATTTTAGTTTCTTGGTTCTCTAACCTCTTGAAAGTGACAACAGCGATGAGAATAAGAGAATTAAAAGCAAAAATTATGTTCATTTAATTTGTAATCAGTGCTTTAATAATTGAACTCGAATTTTCATGCACATGCTTCTATAAATAGGGTGTGAATGACAGTTTTGTTATTTGCATTTTCATTTGAATATGTGTCTCTCAGTCGGTTAACTTTGAGAGTGCTCTCTTGGTACATAGTATAAAGTCCACAAAGGATGTCCCTACTGAAGAGATAATGATGAGAGCCTTTGGGTTATCCATGTCAAAGCTCCGCCCTAAGAAGATGCCTAAGAGAAATAGAAAGCTAGAAGGAGGGAGCCAGTCAGAAGTTGCAAAGAGGCCTATGGGAGCAAAGAGGCCTGAAGGAGAGCACTGACCTAAAGAAAAGAAGTAGCTTGTGATGCTAAGAGGCCAAGAGAAGGGAGTTGGCCGAAGGGGGAAAGGTGAGTTAAGCAACTCTCTCACAAGAAGAAACATATGGAAGATCTAAAGGATGAGGTTTCGTTATCCAACTAGCATACACTTCTTTAATGGAAGGAAGGGGGAGGCAAGTTAGGAGACTCAACTATAGGTGCATTGACTTGGTCCCCTACTAAGGCCTGCGATTAGTCAATCAAACAACCTGCCCAGGGAGTTGTTGGGGCTTTGCTGCTAAAGGATGGGAGGTTATAGTTTTGTTTTCGACTGGAAGGAGTAGGACTGTTGGCATCTCGCCACTACCTGGTGAGAGCTTTCCATCATTTTGTTGGTCTAAGATGGATCAACCCCTTAGTAAGAGGATATCCTAGTGGTGGAGAGATTTTGATGTCGCCACACATCATAGAAATTTTAAGAGACTTATATCTAAATGACCAAGCATGTCATTTGAAGAAATAGTATACCTCCCAAGGGAATGAATACTACCTTAAAATGGTTATGATCACACGGATGATAAAGACCATCATAAGTTGATAAAATTTTTTTGTTACCTTACTGGTGTACAATAAGGTTTATTTTATTCTGAGGTTAGTTTCTCTATGAGGGCAAACACTCATATTTAATTACATCTCCAGAGACATGAGAATTGAAGAAAAATCTTGATTAATATAATGAATTATGTTATCTAAATTAGAAGGTTATATCAGAATTGAAGTTTAAAAAGTGAATGAAGGATCAAAGATTGAAAGAATTAAGCTCGAAAGGATGGAGCTTATAATTTGATGATAGTGTGTCATGAAAATACTCAAACAAAGTGATTTAACCATCCAAGGAAGAATGTTTACCCAAAGGATGGTGATTCAAGTGTTTGAAAAGGATGGTAATGATTATTAATTGACTCCGTAAAGTCAAAAGAAAACTTGTGAATGATTGGTTTAATTGATTGAAGTTGTTGAGGCTCCTAAACTAAAGGAAAGAGTTGGGTAGGAAGGATTTCTAAATAGAAGTGAAGTTCTAGACTCTATAAGGAATCCTAATGGTTGGACTAACCTGAACTCTGGAAATAACATCCCTGATCAGGATGCTCATTGCATTATGTCATATCAGGCATGTTGATATCCTTTGATTATAACCAACCTCATAATAAAAATCCTCATTGAGTGTCACGATCATGGCATGTGGAGGGTTTCCTAGTTTCAAGGATGTTTAAAATGCATTCGTTAGTGACCATGAGTTACTTCATATGAAAGCATTCTCTCTATTCTTAAGGGTCAAGTTATTAGTTTTATATGTCTTGGTCCTTAGCAATAACTAGGATACCTATTATACTAACATAATTTTCTATATTTGGACTAACCTAGATTCTGTGTATGCACCTCAAATCCTTAGTCTAAGTTGGCTAACCTAAGGTTTGGGGAAAATCTAGTTGTGTTTAGTTTTCTTTCTTTATGTTGTTGTATTTTAGATGTTATTTGGAGGTTCAATATTTAGTTTGTGGTTTATTTTAAACCTTATTTTTGTCAGTAAATGTGAAAAATTAAGGTTTTCCTATGTTCAAATTTTTGGTTTTGAATTTGTGGGGAGAATCGTCTTGTGAGAGGTTCTCCTCCTCTTTTTTGTTTATTTATTTTTTTTGTTAATTTTTTTTGAGTCTACACATGTAGTGAGGAATATGAAAATAAATATGAAGTGAGATGATATATAAAATAACATAACATATGAATATGAAATTAGCCCAGATTAGACTTGGGCTCGGAATAAGCCGAAGTTGGCTGAGGCCAGCTCAAAATTGAGCTTGTGTATAAAGTGACATAAGTTTGTTTAAACCTTAGGTTGGACCTCAATTGGACTGGGATGACATGATTTGGACATGAATTTACCTTAGTTGACTTGCGTTGGCCTGGTTTGGACGTTGGGTTGGACTTGGGTTAGCCTGAGTTGGACCTGCGTTAACTTGGGTTGGACCTAGGTAAGATCTGAGTTTGGGTCATGCCAGGTTTAGACTAGTGTTTGGGTTAGATGAGACTAGAGTTTGGGTTAGGTTAGGCTAGGGTTTGGGTTAGGGTTAGGTTGGGTTTAGGTAGACCTAAGAAAACCCAAACCTCCAAACCAACACCTAATCCATGGCTATTGAATTTTGTTGACTTACACACTAATAAAAAAAAAATTAACTCAACATAAAAGAAAGTAGAGGGAGAGGACTCATTGGTGTAAAAGGCTACAGATGATCGCAAGAGTAGGAGGAGGTAGAAATTGGATCTTCTCTAAGTCCTTTGTTGAAATCAATGTTGAACCACTCTCTTGACATCATCATGCATGCCTTTTTATATTTGGCAGAGGTAATGGCGGGAGCCTTAGTGACCGTTGATTGAGGTTGGGATTGACGATCACGATCTTTTCAATGATTGTAGCTCCCATCGATCACTAACGGTGAAATGACATATCAATTTACTGTTGGATCTGATGATGAAGTCCACGAATCACTAGTGTGGCTTTGGTGTGGCATTGAAAGAGTTTGGTGTGATGACATCCAGAAACTCCTAGACATAGCTACACCCAAACTAATCATTACCATGCCTAGGAACTGGTTGCAGGCACACACGCATGGCTATGCACCCACGTGCACACTGGTGTGTGTTGAGCTGAATGTGAGTTGGCTTTAAGTTTGAACGAAGGGTTAAAAAAACGTGAGGTCAAAAAATGGACTCCCAATATGTGTGACAGACTGTTCAAGGTATGAAGCACACAAATTTGTGCTGATCAAA